CACCATACAATTATATATAATACTAATACATATTATTATATGCCCAGCATGAGACAGATGTCTCTGTCAGATTATTCTGACATCCCGTCATGTTCCCTGTGAAGGACATCAATTAATTCTGAGACACATATGAATTGTACCCCAAGCTCAAATAATTGTTGAAAGCCTTTGAATGTAACTTGAGTAGCTTCATCCCACGTCTCTCTCAGGTGTATATTTAATCCACTCTCCTCACAATCTACCTGGCACTCGGGTTAGAGAACTTTCTTTACAGGGGAGCTCCAGAAGATGCTTTATAATTTACTTCTGAATAAGCCGGGTCTTCCGAGGGCTTCTCCCCCACATGCATACTCTTGGCATCCTGTTGGCTCTTAGCAGAATCGCTGTGCCTGAATTGCGCTTTGGGGCACTGCCATCAGTCTTTATTGAGAATCATTCTAGGGAAAGCCCTGTGACCCTTGTCTCCTGTAGGTCTGTTGTCTGGGTATCACTGAGACCATTCATCCATGCATTACATATCCTGCATCCCCTCCACGAAGACTCGCAGAAGAAATTGATTTCTGATCTCAGTTATAGGAAGAAAGGTCCCTTTAATTCATTCAGTAAACATTTACTGAGTACCTGCTACTCGCAGGCAATGTGAGAGGTGCTGGGATACACTCCTAAGTGAAATGCAGTCTGGTAGAGAACACACACATCAAATAAATAATTACCCCATCGATTGTTGTAATTTCGATAAATGCTACCAAAGAAAAATAGTGTGCGTGTGGGGAGGGACTTAGGGGTGCCGCTAAGGGGCCCTAGGGGCTCAGTGAAGGGCTGTTTGAGGAAGTGATATTTCTCCTTAACACTTGTATGGTTTTCTATGAATCATATTGATCCTTCTCACGTTGGCTCTTGGGAAGTTAAATGTCAAATTTGTGCCTCACTTCTAAAAAACGCATAGGATTTGGGATCTAATTTAATTTCTGGATTCATTTATTTGCAGGAAAAAATATTTTCCAATTGTGCACTATGAGCATTGGGCATACAATAGTAAATCAGATAAACAGGCCCCACACCTCACAGAGCTTCTAGATGAGGGGGAGATCTAGACAAGGGAATGCACCATCAAACTACAGCTTGTAAGTGCTGTGCTTAGGGAAGTCCAGGCAGCAGTAGAAGAGTGGAGAGTTAGTATGATCCCCAAAAATATGTCCAGGAAATCTATTTTGGGAAAGCGAAGGCCAAGCTGAAACGTGACATTAGTGAGACAAAGGGAAGGGGGTTTTCCAACAGAGGTCTATGCACAGATCCCGACGTGGGAAAGAGAAAGAATGGCGTGTTTAGGGGACTGAAAGAGTCCCGTGTGGCTAGAGCACGGGGTGGGTCATAAGGCTACAGGAGGAGTAAACTGAGGCCAGATTGTCAATGGTTGTGGGCTCCTTGCTGCCATAACTTGCCCACGTAATCTGTTAGAACACCCGGCCAGGATGACAGCGTATTGATGTGAATGAGAAGAAAGCCACTCGAAGGAGCCTCGGTGAGGAAACAATTGGCAGGATTTGGTGATGGGCGGAAAGAGGGGGTGCAAAACAGAAAGGATTCAAAGTGAACCTTCATACGTGCTCTCAGTAGGGCATTTACACTTTTCACTCCCGGCTTCAACATATGGAATATAGTAGTCAGGATGGCATTTGCCTTCCAGGGTAGTAGAGGGAATTAAACCTAGGTGAACAAGACTGTACCTGATAAGGGGAACTGAGACACAGAAACGTGAAGTCATCGCAATGAGATTAATTACAATCGGGTGGGGAGGAGACGCCCAGGTAGACAGGCAATTTCAGCACCCTGTGATAAATGTCTTAGGGAAAGTATTGAGCGGCACCCTGGGAGGGACGTGTAGGAGGGGCACTGTCTTAGGTCGCATTCCCTAGGAACAAAGACCAAGAGGGGGTTCTTGTGTAAGTGAATAATTGAGCAATGCTCCCAAGTGAAACCTGTAAGGGAATGGGGGGAACAGCACAGGGCAGGGAAGGTGCTAGAAAAGACGACAGGTGTGTTTAGCTCAGGGGCTGGCAAACTTTGGAATTGTCATCAAACCTGCATTTCTATTTCTGTGACACTTATTTTGTTCAGGCACTACACTTTCTGTGCTACAAAGACAGAATTGAGTAGTTGTGACCGGGACCATATGGCCCAAAAGCCCAAAATACTTACTCTCAGGCCCTTTCCAGAAAGTTTGCGGCCCCTGGTTGAGGCTGCAGCCTGATCCCAGGGGGAGCTCTGGAACACGAAGAGCAGTGCACAGCAATCCCACCTGAAGACAAGGTGCCTGTGTGTTTGTGCCAAGACCTTCACGCTTAGAAGGGCCCTAAATCTGGAGTTCAGGAGACAGGTCCAGGTTGGAAATGTCAATTTGGGAGTCGTCAGAATATAGATGGTACTTAAAGTCAGGATGAGATTATGTAAAGAGTGATTATAGATGGAGAAGGGATCTTATGAGCCCTGGGGCATACCACTGTTTACAGGTCAGGAACAGGAAAGGTTCTAGGAAAGGGCACCCAGAAGGAGCGGACTGTGAAATAGGAGAAAAACAGAGAAATGGTTTTCTAGAAGCCAGGTAAAGAACATGTTTTAAGGAGGGACTGATCAGCTTTGACAAGTGCTGTTAGGGATCATCTGGTCTAGGAGCAGGATCTGGGGGCAGTATGGCTGCACTCACAAGCCCACAGGGAGTCTGTGAGCTCATGGCTGGGGAGAGGAACAGCCCGAACGTGCAAACACACACACACACACACACACACACACACACACACACACACCATGCACGTACAGCCACACTGGCATCTCTATCTAGGACTTGGGAGTCTAGGCTGGGATTCAGAGGTTTGGGAGCACAGAGGTTAATTTTCGACAAGCACAGTTTCAGTGTGAATAATGTGAGCAATTACCTGATCAGAATGAGTTCAAGAGAGAGGGAAGAAATCGCAGACAACAAGTGCAAACAGCACTTTCTAGGAGCTGTGCTGAAAAGGGACACGGAGGAATGAGGGGTAGCCAGAGAATCACGTACAGTGAAGACAGAGGTTTTGAGACGGCAGACACTGCATCCTGTTAGGGGAAATGATATGATAGAGGGGAAAACCGCTGATGCACGACGGGAGAATTAACAGAGTGACGTTCTTGACTTGACAAGAAGATATGGCGCCTGAAACAATGAGGGTAGTGTGTCCACAGCACAGGGGAGAAGGCAGAGCCTGTGCGCAGAGATAGAACTAGGTTGATGGATACAGCGCTGGGAGCTCAAGAAGGTCCGATGGCTTCTATTTTCTCAGTGAAATAGGAAGCAAGACCACTGCTGAGAAAGAGTATGGGGGAGGGGAAGGCAGAGGTTCAAAGGAGGAGGAGGCAGGGGACAGTGATCACCCAGAACACCCGCCGAGGGAATGGCTCATTCTTGTGTCTCCTACAGCATCTCCATTACTTCAGCAAGTATGTTCTCAGTGTCTATCATGTCCCAGCGCTAAGATAAACACCAAATGCTTCTTGAAAGAATGTGTGGACATAGCACATCCTCAAACACATCCCGAGCATGTTTTAGATTTGGAGCTGAGTGCAGTTTGGGTGGCTTGGCAGGGTAGAAGCAGTGGGGTTCCAGATTTGGAAGAAGCCAGAAGCTCTCTTTGGGCCACTACGGAAGCCTCCCAACCGGTTCCTTGGAAACCATTTGTTTGAGTCGTTTTCCTAAATGATTACAAGAGCTTGTGACAAATTGCTTCTAGGGAAGAAAACAGGAACATCGGGGTACAGAGGTGAGAAGTTTTTCAAGTACCCTTGTGTGGTGTTCATAGTAAAAAAAAAATTAACCATGTGCCTGTATCCACTATTCAAAAGAAAAACAAAATCCCCTCCTCAAAAATTCTTCTATGGTTTTTCTACTGCCTGTAGGAGAAACAAAATCCTTAACTTACTCTATAATGCTCTGCATGGTATGGCCATGCCCACCTCTCCAGCCTGATCTCTTATTCTCTCTTCCTTTGGCTCTCTCCAATGCAGCTACACTGGCCTGATGATTCAGCTGTTCTACATTCTTCTGGGCCTCAGGGCCTTCACACAAGCTTTTCTTTCTGCCTCACTCATTCTTACTCCCCACCTCCCCTTCCCATTCTTTGCCAGTAAATTTCAGTTCTCAGCTTTAAACTGCTTTTTCGGAGAAGACTTCTTGACTGCATCCCCAATGCCCACCAGACTTGGTCAGTCCCCACACCGGGCACTCCAGCAGCAAAAAATTATGAAAATCACGATGAAGTGTAATTGGCTGATCAATTTGCCCCGCTACGTCGTTATACCCAGGACAGGGTCCTTTGGAGCTCAGCCCAGCGTGTGGTACACAGTGGGTGCTCAATGACTATTAGCCGGAGGAAACTATGTACTTTTCTGGACCCTTCTCCATCTAAAGCAGCTGCGCTCAGGGCAGATGCGGGGGCAAGGAAGCCAGATGAGGAAGGAGCGGGAGCTGAGGCGCCCTTCTAGGCTTTCTCATTTAGAGGCCAGCAGGGGGTGACACTGCCGCTGTCCCTCGGTCCAGAGGGCGTGGAGGGAGAGATGGGCTGGGGTCGCACCACCAGCTGGCGTGAACGTGGTGCTCACGGCGCCAGAAGGTTCGGAGACACGGCGTGATGGATCTGGCCTCCTCTCGAAGGCTGCTGAGGCCAGACGACGGATTTGCCAGGTTTGAGTGCAAAAACGGCCTCCTCCGCAAGAGAGGAAGCCTGGATCACCGACTGCGAACAAAAGATGCAAGGGAGAAAAGCCACAACCTGCCGGGTCGCCAACGCCTGCGTCTTCCGGGCGTCAGCAGCCCGGGTACAAGCCCGCAGAACAGCCCCAGCCGACGAGAAAGCGCGTCTCCCCCGCGCCTGCGCACTCGGGGCCCTGCGCCCCGCTCACCCAGACCCCGCCCCTGGGAGGGCCCTCGCGCCCGCCCCGCCCCCCGCCTCTGCGTGCGCACCGCCTGGAGCCCGCCTCCGTGAAAGACGGCCGGGCGCATGCGGCCGGGCTGGTTCACTGGCTGCCCGGGGCCCAGCGCGCGCGTCGCACACCTAGATCCTTAGCCGACGGCAGGCCTGGAAGCCGGCTTCAGGTAGGCTGACTCCAGGGATCCTGGGGGAACTGTTCTGCCGTGCAGGAATCGGCGGCGCTAGCTGAACCCGGCGCGGGACAGCCACACCGCCGGCTGATAGACACCGCTCCCACCAATCAAGGGTGAGGTGGCTCGCCGGCCTGACCAATGGGCTGCGTGCCTAACGGGAGTGGGGCGGGCGGGCGGCCAGGCCGGCTAGGAGCCGGCTCCCGCGCGCGGGGCCGCGTGGCCGGGCGCCGCTGGGAAGCCGGGCCGCAAGGGGCGTGGGGCGGCGGGAAAGGCCGCGGGGCCGGGGTCGCGGGGGCCGGCAGTACGCGCTGCAGCGCGACCTGGCTCGGCTGAGCAGGGGGCCGGGGATGACGCGTGGGACCGGGAGGGCCGTAGAGGCGCCGGAGCCCCTCTGCTCAGCCCTCCGGGAGAAGCCCCGGCGGCCGCCCCTCCTTGGGGACTGCCCGGGCCCTGGCCCCTCCGACCCTGGGGCACGGCTGCAGCCTGGCTGGGAGGCGGTTCAAGGTCCGAGACGCGCTGCCGCGTGGGGGATGGGTTCGGCGGCCTGGCCGCGGCCCCTCCGGCGCGCCCCGGCTCCAGTGGGCGGAAGGGGCCTTGCAGCTCGTCGGGGCTCGGGGTGCGGCCCCTTCGGCCCCACAGCCGTGGCGCTCCCCTCCTGGCCGCTCCTAGAGAGCATGCCGCGTTTTAAAGAAGTTCACTACGTTTGCGTGGCACACGTAGGTCCACACTCGTAATTTCCAATCCGCAGCAGTCGTGGTGACAGGCGATGCGGGGATCACCCATTTTTCCGATGTAAGGACCCGGGCTTCAGGCACCTTGATGGACTTGACAGGTCTCCGTACACAAGTGGTAGGGCTGGAGGTGAATCTCAAAACATTTTTATCGACAAAAAAAGCTTTCCCCCCCCCCACCCTTGCCATTTTTATTGAATTCCTCTGATGCAATTTTTTTTTAAGATTATTTTTAGGTAATCTCTATACCCATCGTGGGGCTCGAACTCCCACCCCTGAGATCAAGAGTTGCATGCTCTACCGGCTGAACCAGCCAGGCACCCCTGATACCTCTTAATATATGTTACTTCTGTGCTTGAAAACTTTCCCATGTGTCCATCCTCTTCAGAATAAAGTGCAGATTGGACATGAAGGTTTCCACATGATTTGGACCCTTGCCTACATTTCCAGCTTATTTCCCACTGTCTTCCCACAGGCACCCTCCACCCCCCCACCCCCCCTTCTTGGCCCTGCATCTGTTTTCTGTAGATGGCCTTCACCTTCCTGTTCACTCTGTTGCCTTCTCCATGCTTTATTTCTTGCTGTCAGTCCTTGAAGACCTGTTGCAGGTCTCAGGTCAACTAAGCAGGAGCAACTTGGATCCTCTCCCTGCCTTAATTTCTCTCACGTTCCTCTGCTAGGACATGATCTATACCCTGGTCTTGCCACTGAAAGCTTTCTGCTTTCTGTTCTCCATGTGTGCCTTTCATATGTTGTCCCTGTTTCCCACCATCAGTGGATTTCTCATTTCTTTGTAAATGTTTTGTCTCTAACCGGACTGCCAGCAACTTGTGATATGAGCCCAGATCTGGTGAAGTTGTCTGGTCCCTGCTCTTCCCATAAGCAGCCTGAGGTGATCTCTGAAAATGGTTTGCTATTCACTTGACCCAGAAAACCCTACGAAATCATGCAAGTCAAGAGGTTTCAAATCTTTGTGTTCACTTTAAGAACACACGTGAAACTTCCCAGGCCATCGAGGGTACGCATATCCAAAAAGCCACCAAGTATCTGAAAGATGTCACTTTGTAGACACAGCGTGTGCCATTCCGTGTCACTGCAGTGGTGGAGTTGGTAGGTGTGGGTGTGCCCAGGCCGAACCGTGGGGCTGGACACGGGGTTGGTGGCCCAAAAAGAGCGCTGAATTTTTACTGCACATGCTTAAACATGCAGAGAAGAATGCTGAACTTAAGGGTTTAGATGTAGATTCTCTGGTTATTGGGCACATCCAGGTGAACAAAAGCCCCCAAGCTGCGGCGCAGAACTTACAGGGCTCGTGGTCGGTTCAACCCACACGTGAGCTCTCCTGCCACGCGGAGATGGTCCTTACTGGGAAAGAGCAGCTAGTCCCCAAACCGGGAGAGGAGGTTGCAGAAAAAAAAGAGATCCCAGAAGAAACTGGAGAAACAAAAACCTATGGCCTGGGAGTAAATTCTGCATAAAATAAATGCAAATAGAAGTTAAAAAAAAACCCAAAACCTTTTGTGGTCCCCAAAGTGTCCAGCACGGTAGCACCTACATAGGGGGTCGCTCATCAGTGTGAGTGAGTGGGTCCTGTCAGCCTCTCCTACCTGGTCTGGGAGCCCATTGGGGCCTTTATTGCCAGGCACTGTGGGAGGCTGCAAGAATCTTCCCTCAAGAGAGGTGTTAACCCTCTTCAGGTAAAATTGGGGCAAGTCGAATACAAACGGATGAAGAAGGAGTCTTCTGTAAAAGTAACCTGCTCCATCACCCACTCTGAGAAATTTCTAGGAACATCTAAAATTTAGTCTGAGAATTTAGTTCTATAGTGTCAGGGATATTCCTGGATAGAACATATCTAAAATGTAGCCAAGTCTGATAATTCATGTGTCAGTAAGGATCTGTTTCACTGTGAGGTGACAGAGTAGTGTCTCCCCCCGCCCCCCCCCCCCCAATATCAGGGACTTGGGGTCAAACGAGTTTTGGGGAAACTACACTGTATGCCCATTTGGGGACATCACAGAGCATATTAACTTATTAAAGGCTACTGGAGATCTGGCATTAAACCAATTGACTGTTTAACAACATTTCTGATTTTTATGTCCATAAAATGCTTTATGGGAGCCCCACATACATTTTGCAGAAACCAAGGAGCATGCTTTTGGAAACGGTCTAACAATGGAAAGAGCAAGTCACGGTCTGGTTGTCTTCCTTGCTGTCCAAGGGGGAAGTCATTCTGAGCATTCTTACTTTGCCAAGTGTATTCATTCCTGCCTTGGGGAGTGGGGCGGGGGAATGCTTTAGGCAGAACTCCCCGGTTTCCTTGTTCCTTTCTTAGCTTATTTTTATTATAAACTGGCTTCACATGAAGCGTTCCCAGAGGAGGAAAATGTCCTGACCGTGCCAAAGCAAGCATTCTCTTCTACTTGGTGATTGTGTTTTGATCACATTTGGGTTTACTGACCAAATGATGTTTCTGAGCCTCTGAAGCTAGGGCCAGTGATGAATTCTCCCTGGCCAGCCTGTTGCTGTCACCTCGCCTCTTGCCTCTGCTGTTTCTTCCATCCACCCACCCTTTTTATCTGTCACCACATCTGCTGCTTCCATTCCCGGCCACAGCTGTACAGCTTTTTGGATTTAATGGGATCTGTCCTCTCTTTGAGTCCTCTGCCCATTATGTGTTTCAGGCTGGTTTGTTATCTGATGTTCCTTTCCTCCAGTATATATGGTTGGTTTCTCTTCATTGTATAGCTCGGAGAGAGTTTTGAGTTAAACAGCCGTACAACTGGGAAGGAGTAAGTTATTAATAAACTGCAGGAGCAAACTACCTTTAACTAAAGGATTTTTAGGCTTAATTGCAACTCCTTTTAAATGTTGAAGTTCTTTTATTCCGTCTTCCATAACCTAGCGAAGCTCTGTTTTCTTGGGGATACATTGTAGGTTAGCCAAAGACATTCTCTTTTGTGGAGCAATCAGGCAACCCAGGGCTCATCCAAGATTGAGACGTTGTTTCTCCCATGCAGGGAAAATAATGAGGCACCTGCTTTCGAACCCCGGGGTCTGCTGGCTACTATGTCAGCCAATGTTTGGGGCATAGCATTCTGTCAGCTTTTTAAATTTATTTTTTTTATTAGGTGGTCTCTCAAGGTTGTTGGTTGTCAGAGCTTTAAACAAAAGCTACATTATGTGACTAGTCATTGTTTTTCAACTCCTGTTTGACTAAAGCCATTCAGTGATCCTAAGAAATGTTTGTTAGGAGCTCACATCACATAACAACCTTCTAAAGTCGTGCGATGGACAGGGAAACTGAGGCTCCCGGGGGGGGGGGGGGTGGTTCATAGCTAGGAAGCGGTACGGCTAGCCTTTGAACCCAGATACGTTTGCTTTGTGGAAATATATTTTATCTGTAATTTTTCCTTCTTCCATTCCCAGGTCAAAAAGTAAAATGAAGTACATTCTAGTTACTGGTGGTGTTATATCAGGAATTGGAAAAGGAATCATCGCCAGCAGCGTAGGCACGATACTGAAATCATGCGGTTTACATGTAACTTCAATTAAAATTGACCCATACATTAACATTGATGCGGGAACATTCTCTCCTTATGAACATGGTAAGCACGATGCATTTCTTTCTTTTGTTAAAATAATAATTATGGAGTATGTGGAAGAATATACATCAGCCCTTGGAAATGGTGTGTATTTTGTATTATGTGACTTGCATTTCCTGCCTTCCAAAAAGGTCCTTAGTGTTAGCAGAATCTGTTTTTCTCACCTTGACAGAGAGGAAGCAGAAATCTAAATAGGCAACATAGTGATTAGAGTCTAGAGGTTTCTATAATAGAAACCCCTCTCTGAGGGGGAAAAAATAAGACATTTTTCCCTTTCCAGTTTTTATGCTGGTCTCCTATTGTGATGGTAGGAATGAACCATTCTGGGCAAGACTTCTAGAATGACGCCTCAAGGAATGAATGTCAAACAAAGGAATGGGAGAAACTTGGAGTTTCACAACTTTGTTTGGGACTAAAGTGTAGCCCAGAAGCTGGTTTTTGTAATCAGCAGGACCTTAGTATCCAGTGTGAGCTTTGAAGGAAATCATGCTTTTATCACGTTTGAAACCTTTTGCTGCACAAGTAGGCATTGTTGAAAGTTCTTTCTCTTTAGGCAGCAGATACCACACTCCTGTAAAGTTCCCTGTCTCCACCGCCCTTGAGGCTATGATTTCCTTCCGTTCAATGCTATTTTATACCTTCCTGATTCAGACCGAGCTTGTTGATAGGCTGGAAGTAAGCTATTGCCTTCTGGAGAATGGTTGGTGATATTTTTCTTTCTTTTGTGTCATATTTAGTTTTCTAGAAATAAATTTCTCTGCTTCATGTCCAGGTAATGCAGACTTTGTTCTATTTGAGTGTTTATATTTTGAGCCTCACATTTGCCATGACATGGGTGTTTCTCACTTACCCTGACCGTTTTCACTATTCACCGCAGGCGAGGTTTTCGTGCTGGATGATGGTGGGGAAGTAGATCTTGATCTAGGGAACTATGAGCGGTTCCTAGACATCCGCCTCACCAAGGACAATAATCTGACCACTGGAAAGATCTACCAGTACGTCATTAACAAGGAACGCAAAGGAGATTACTTGGGGAAAACCGTCCAAGGTAAAACTGGATTTGCCCTCAAGGTGTGAAAACCTTAAGCAGTTTGCTTTTCTTTTGTGAACAAAAATTTACTTTTCATGCAATTTCAGCCTGAAAGCGTCCAGGTATTGTTACTGAACCATGCCTTCCGTTGAAAATTTAGAGTTGTATGGCTGTTTACCCAAAAAGTAATTTGAAGGAGCCTCTGCTGCTGTATGAATGCCACTGAAGCTATCAGTCTGGCATGATTTGAGCCCAGAGAGCTGTTGTTTTTACACAGTGATGGATGTGAAGTGACGAAGGCAGCTAGATCAGGGCAGTCAGCCAGGCCGTGTATATATGTTGTGCATGTGGGACCCACTTGTAAACAGTGGTAGGACAAGAACGTGCGTTGTGTACGTTGGTCTGCAGGCTGGTCATCGGTGCGCGTGGGCCTGTGGGAGTCTGAGAAGCGGCTCTCTGGGTCTCCTGCCCTTTTACCAGCCAGCTTCACTTATGTTCGCCTGCTGCCCTGGGGTTTTGCACAGCATTCATTTGAGAAAATTGCCACTCTTAAAAGGTGGGGTTGGAAAACCACTGGTCTAGTGTGATGGCTTAAGTCCAAATTTGGGGGGGTGGGAGAGGTTTGCTGAAAAGTGGCTTTTCTCTGAGTTATGAGAGTGAATCTGCCCTTGGCTTTAGACTTTGCTAAATTGAAAGCCACTTAGCCCCTGCTTAGCCCATGTTTAGATCTTAGGCCTGCCACTTACCAGCTTTGTGAACACAGGCAGATTACTTAACCTCTTTGAGATCTGGCTCTCTTTTCTGCCAAATGGAGTTACTAACTACCTGGCTCTCCTGATTGCTTGGAGGGCGAAAAGAGCTGCGTGACACCGTTTCTCTGAGTTCCTGACACGTAGAAAGGGGATCAGTTAGGAATTAAGATGATCTCGATCATACAGTTTGTTGTTCTAGGCCTCCAGCGAATTCATTCTTGTGTGCATTCATTCGTCACATGTTTCTTGAATGCTCACTGCGGACATACCCTGTCTGGCGCTGGGGCTACGGATGAAGGAGACCAGCGAGGCTCCCGCCCCCCATGGGGGCTTCCGCGTGGGAGACACAAAAACAAACAGATGAAACAAGATGTCTGATAAGAGCTGTGAAGGAAATAGGAGACAGAATGCGTGGGGACGGCCAGTTTGGACAGGTGGTTAGGGAGACTCCACGAGGGGGCATTGTGGAGGAGAGAGGCCAGCCAGGGGACAGGCGGAGGAGGGGCCTGAGGCCTGAGGCTACAGTCAGGCCAGGGGACCAGGGGGATGGGTGTGGGGAGTGGGGGCGGTGAGGTGGGCTGCAGCCAGGTTATGTAGGGCCTTTTGGGCCTTGGCCTGGAGTTTGGATTTTACTCAGAGCGGTGGGAAGCCATTGAAGAGTTTAAAACACGGGATGGGGGGAAACTGCATATTTAAAAGATCCCTTTGGCTGCTGTGTGTGCAGTAGATAATGAATATCCTTGTGCCTGAGGCACTGCTGCTTAAATACAGAGCAGGTTAAACAGTAATCCCTGCCCCTTAGGAACCTGCCTTCTGGCCCGACAGCTAGGGTTTTAAAAAGTGTTCAGCGCTGGCTGACTTTGCTGAGCACTGGCATGCTAGGCGCTCTGCTTAGCATTGTACCAGTGGTGGCTCATGAAATTTGCACAACTTTATGAAGTGGAAGCTGTTGTCTCCACTTAGCGGATAGGGAAATCGAGCTTAAGAATAGTTAAGCGGTGTCCCAAGGATCCATACCTAATGAGAGGTGGAACTGAGGTTCGAATCTGACATTCTGGCCCCAGATGCTGTGCTCCTGACCACCCCGCCGTCCTGTACCCTCTCTTATCTGTGGATTGTGTATCCTCTGAGAAACTGGAACATAATGGAACAGGGGCCTGGAAGGCACCCAGGTGTGAAGTGTGCCAGCCTTCAGCAGTAGTGGTGCGGCGGCCACAGGGTCTGTTGAATGGTGGTGCAGCCCTGGGGCCCTCTGCAGAGGGGCCAGGGCACTGATGCGGGTTCAGGATATACTCTTGGCTTTACCCTCTTGTGCTTCTAGCCACGACTTGGAAACCTGGAAAGGAGGCCACAGACAGTGGGAGCTCAAAGATTTCTTTAATTTTTTTTTTAATGTTTATTTCTGAGACAGAGAGAGACAGAGCATGAATGGGGGAGGGGCAGAGAGACAGGGAGACACAGAATCCGAAGCAGGCTCCAGGCTCTGAGCTGTCAGCACAGAGCCCGACGCGGGGCTCGAACTCACAAACCGCGAGATCATGACCTGAGCTGAAGTCGGATGCCCAACCGACTGAGCCACCCAGGCGCCCCGGAGCTCAAAGATTTCTTAATGCCATGTAAGAGTGGTCTCAAAAATATGTTTATGACCCCTTCACCGCTCCAGGCAAAGATTGCGGCCGTTTGTTGACATAGTAAGTGTATCTCCTTCCACCAGTGTTGATAGGAAAGTGTATGTTACGTGCCTCTTTCCTCTTTTCCAGTTGTCCCTCACATCACAGATGCAATCCAGGAGTGGGTCATGAGACAGGCGTTAATACCCGTGGATGAAGACGGCCTAGAGCCTCAAGTGTGTGTTATTGAGGTTTGTAGGAGTCTTTTCTAACCAAGTGTACACACACATTCACCTCCTTAGTCAGCCATCAGCACCTGGTAAGACAGTGCTCTGTGAGGCCCTTGACCCTAACCACAGTGGGACAGGTAAGGGCACAGTGACAGTCCTGGGATGGGGCCAGGCCGTTGAACGCGAGTAGGTGCAAGCGATCAGAGGTGCAGAGCGAGCCTCTTCGTTCACTTATCATGACTGTACCAGTAAGAGCCGCAGGACACATTTTCCTCTCTCTCTTGAGAAAGTCAGCTGACCTTCATCTCTCCTCTGGTGGGAATCCTCTCATCTCTGAATGAGCCCCGTTGCTTTCAGTTTCTTTACTCCTGCTCTGCTGGTCCTAGCCGTTGGATGTAAAATAGAGGACTCAGAAATTCCATCAGCCTATTACTGATACCTTGTCACACAACAGTTATTTATGGCTAAGTAGATAAGATTTAGGTTTCTTGGCTTCGTGACTGGTATGAATAAAGTTTCTAGTATATCTTTCACCTGGCCTTTTTCTTGGCCAGATCTGCCAGATCCATAACTTTGGGGAATGGAGAGCCTGTCCAGCAAAGTAGCTGTTCAGCATAAAGAAATGTCATTTACTGCTAAGTGACATCAACTGCGCTCAGAGAGTCCACATTATGCTGTTACTGATCGCTGAGCTGAGATAATGGGGTGCAGTTGTCCGAAAACTGACCCATGAAAGGAAGGGTTAGTGCTTGATCTCTAACAGAACTTTGTTCTTGTAGCTCGGTGGAACGGTGGGAGATATAGAAAGCATGCCCTTTATTGAGGCCTTCCGTCAGTTCCAGTTCAAGGTCAAAAGAGAGAACTTTTGTAATATTCACGTCAGTCTAGTCCCTCAGGTAAGGCATTCGAATTTTACTTTGTGGAGGTGGGAAGGAGAGAGAAGAGGGTGCTTTTCATTCCTTGTCTATTTTAGGTGTGTGAGATGCAGGGAATAAAGACTGTCTTTGTGAATTTAAAATTACTGTAATCAGACTTTTGGAAAAGCTCAGATGGAAAACATTTGGAAAATTAGCCAGGGAAGTTGCCGTTGAAGGTGGTGGATTGAAAATGTCCCATTTGGGGGCCCCTGGGGGGCTCAGTCAGTTATACGCATCCGAATTCTGCTCAGGTCATGAGCTTGTGGTTTGTGGATTTGAGCCCTGTGTCAGGCTTTGCGCCGACAGTGCGGAGCCTGCTTGGGATTCTCTCTGCCCCTCCCCCACTCACACTTACTCAAACTAAATAAACTTAAAAAAAAAAAAAATGTCCCACTTGTCTCTACTATATGGTGAAAACCCACTACAGCTAGAGCAAAGGGAATTTTTTTTTTTTTTTTAAGGTTTGTATATTTTGAGAGAGAGAGTGCGTACATGCGTGCACTTGAGCAGGGGAGAAGCAGAGAGAGGGAGAGAGAAAATTCCAAGCAGGCTCCACGTTGCCAGTGCAGAGCCCAGTGTGGGGCTCAATCTCACGCTCCGGGAGATCATGACCTGAGCTGAAATCAAGAGTCAGATGCTTAACTGACTGAGCCACCCAGGCACTCCCAAGTGGGCAGTATTTAAATACTCAAACACATGTTAACACTGGAGAGGTATCATGAGATGGGCTGCAGGCACGGGACAGGTGCGTGTGTAATAGAGGGAGAGGGTTCCTCCTCTAGGAGGGAAATCAATAGAAAATGCCTCAAACTACATGTCTGGACGTAGCGGGAAACATACCAGAAGGATCATTTAAGAGTGGAAGATTGGCTGCCCCTGGGGTTCGAGGAAGGGGAGGGGTTCACTGTCCTGTTGTTCAGAACAGACCTTGTAGAACCATTTGACTCTAAAATCTATGCAGGAGTACCTTTGACAAAAATAAAAACTAAATTAGATAAATGATCAATAAAGGAAGTTCAGAGAAAAGTCATACTTAAAAAATTTTTTTATCGTAGAGAAATTAACTTTTTTTTTTTCCCTTTTGTAAAATAGCCAAGTTCAACAGGGGAGCAGAAAACTAAACCCACCCAGAATAGTGTTCGGGAACTTAGAGGGCTCGGGCTTTCTCCAGATCTGGTAAGATTTTATGATTCCCTGGTTTCAAGCTTGATCTTGTATGCTTAATTAAAATCTCTCTCTCATGGGAAAAATAAGATAAAAACTGAGAGGGAGGCAGACCATAAGAGACTCTTTTTTTTTTTTTTTTTTTTAATGTTTGTTTATTTTTGAGACAGAGAGAGACAGAGCATGAACGGGGGAGGGTCAGAGAGAGGGAGACACAGAATCTGAAACAGGCTCCAGGCTCTCAGCTGTCAGCACAGAGCCCGACGCGGGGCTCGAACTCATGGACCGCGAGATCATGACCTGAACCGAAGTCGGCCGCCCAACCGACTGAGCCACCCAGGCGCCCCAAGAGACTCTTGAATACAGAGAGCAAACTGAGGGCTGCTGGAGGGGAGGTGGGTGCGGGAGGGCCTAAATGGGTGATAGGCATTAAGGAGGGCCCTTGTTGGGCAAACCACAGGGTGTTACAAGTAAGTGATGAATCACTGGGCTCTTCTCCTGAAACCAGTACGACACTATGTGTTAACTAATTCAGATTTAAGTAAATTAAAAAAAATTTTTTTAAATGCAAAAAAAAAATCTTCCATGTACCGTATGACTTCACTTATATGGAATTAAAAAACGAAACAAACAAAAAGAGACCCGTACATCTAGAGAACAAACTGGTGGTTGCCAGAGGGAGGGGCGGTGGGGGGATGGGCAGGATGGGAGACACAGGCTTCCAGTTATGGAATGAATAAGTCATGGGGATGAAAGGCACAGCGTAGGGAATATGGTCAGTGGTGGTGTAATGGCGTCCTGTGGTGGTGACACAGGTAGCTGTACTTGTGAGCAGAGCGTAGGGTATAGAGTTGAATCATTAGGTTGTTTTTCTGGAGCCACTGCAACATTGTGTATCAACTATACTTCAGTTTAAAAAAAAGCAAACCAGAAAATTTCTGCTTCACAGCAGATAAGACCTCTGTTTTCTTGGCATGCTTTTCGTTGGTGGTGGAGAAACAGGGTTAGTGCTTTGAAGTGGGGTTGTCTTTTACAAAGATTTCCTCACGGGCATGCATGAGGTCATGCTTTGTGTCTCCTCTCTGTCTGTCATTTGTTGTGCCTTCCCCCCCCCCCCCCCCCGCCCACCTTAATGTTTCTCCGGAGCGGGATTTAGGAATTTCAGCTTTGAAAACAGGTCATATTTTCATAGTTGGTGTGCATTGTGCTGGAGTTAACATTTTCATCCAGCTTAAGAAGCTGGTGTCTGTTTTAATTTCAGTCAGGAGAAAAACCCAACTTTGTGGTCCCTTCCTTCTGTCCAGACGGCTTACTTTCTTTCCCGCTAGGTTGTGTGCAGGTGCTCAAATCCTCTGGACACATCGGTGAAGGAGAAAATATCCATGTTCTGCCACGTCGAACCTGAACAAGTAAGTAGGAATTTCATATTCACACAAGTCGTGTTGGATTTCTAGTTACCCGGAAGTCTCTTCACCGCTTTCCTGAGGCTTGTCCATTCCCAATTTGAGACATTGGACCGTTCTCTAGAACTGATTCCTGTTGGCTCTGTGATTCTCCGGTACCTTACCTCTTTGGCTTTCTGAACATCCTTGCCCCCTCCTGCCACTTCTCCCCAACTCCTTGTACTCTGCTCCAGCCATGCTGAATGGGTCGCCCTCCCCGTCGGCCTGGCTTTGTCCTGTTCATTTTCATCCCTCAGGGTCCAGCCAGGACACAGTATTGTCTGGCAGCCTTTACCTGTCAAACCACGTCACCTCCAAACCTCATGGTTGGTCTTTCTTGGGTGACCTGTGTGTATTACAGGTGCTGGTTGTGAACCTGTCCTGCTGCCCCTCTGAGTGTGTGTGTGTGTGTGTGTGTGTGTGTGTGTGTGTGTCCATCTGTGTTTGCCTCCACTCATAGACTTGGAGTTTCTTGAAGGCAAGGACCACCTCATTCAACTTCATACTCCTAGTGCCTGGTGTCTGAGGTGGTAAAGGCTCCAAACCTATTTTATTTTATCTTATTTTATTTTTTTAAGTTTGTTTGTTTATTTATTTTGAGAGACACAGACAGTGTGAGTAGGGGAGGGGCAGAGAGAGGGGGAAAATCCCAAGCAGGCTCTGCACCATCAGCGTAGAGCCCGTTGCGGGGCTCGAGCTCATGAAACTGAGATCATGACCTGAGCCAAAACCAAGAGTCAGACACTTGACCGACTGAGCCACCCAGGTGCCCCTAAACCTATTTTAGACTTTTTCATGACCTGTGCTAATGGAGGGTGCCCACCAAATAGGAAATTCAAATTTGGGGTATGGTGGGGACGTCCTGGTGGTGGTAAGTTGAGACTGTGGCTCTGGTCAGGTTTGGCTGAAGGAGGGGAGAAGGGACGTTGAGGTCTAGGAATCTGTGACTAGATTGTGGGTGGTTTGCTTTGCTGGTGGGTTACTGGGGATCAGGAGGTTTGGCTGAAGGAGGGGAGCCTGGCTGGCCTGGAGAGGAGAGAATCAGCAGCAGAGTTGTATTTCATCCATCCATTTACAGGACAGCGAGGAGTATGGAAGTGAGGGTAAGAAAGTCTGGCCTGGCATTGAAGTGAGCAGAGCAGGACAGTCTCTGACCTCCCCATCTCAGGGGGCCCTCAGGCGTCAGGGTGTGAGCACGGCCTGGGGCCTGAGATCAGTGTCCTAGTGTGCTTCCTGATCTGGGAGCTCTGTCTCAGGGATGCGGCTTCATACTAAAGACCAGATCTTCCTCGACTTAACAAAAGCTAAATCCTGGTAAACCTGTTGTAAGTTGAAAACATCGTAAGTCGAAAATGCAATTAGTACACCTAACCTACCTTAAGTGTGCTCAGAAAACTTACATTAGCCTGTGGGTGGGCAGAATCCTCTCACACAAAGACGATTTTACAATAAAGTGTTGAATGTCTTGTGTAGTTTACTGAACACTGTACTGAGAGTAGAAAACAAGAGTGGTTGTATGGGCACAGAATGGCTGTAAGCATATCGGTTTTTCACACTGGTGATCGTGGGGCTGATTGGGGACCGTGGCTCACTGCCACTGCTGGGCACCACGAGAGAGAGGGTACCATGAGAGAGGATACGGCCTGTTGCTAGCCTGGGAAAAGATCAAAATGCAGAGTACCCTTTCTGCCAGCTGTGTGTTTTTTTCACACCATCCTAAAGCAAAATACAGTAAGTTGAACCATTGTAAATTGGGGACTATATGTGGCGCACCAGAATAATTTCATTGTTACGAGCAACCTTTTTATCACGCACTTCAATTATTTGAGATATTTCCATCCTAGCAAGTGAAGGTAATTCAGTTCCGTGGTAGACTAGGTTATTAAAATTATTCACTGTTAAAAATGTGACAGGTGTTTCTAGATTTAAATTTGAATTTCAAACCTTTTGCCTGTTTTTTAATTGAGTTGCTTATCTTCTAGGAGTTGTCTGCATATTCCGAATAAAAGTCTTTTATCAGATACATGGTTTGCACATTTTCCTCCAAGGCTCTTATTTTTTTAATGGTGTCTTTTGGAACACAAAAGCTTTTACATGATTATGAACTCCAGTTTATCCGTTTTTTTCTTTATAGATTGTGCTTTTGGTATCCTATCCAAGAGCTCCATTTAACAAATGCCACAAAGATTTCCTTCTGTTTCATTCCAAAACTTTTATAATTTTAGGTCTTTTGTTTAGGCCTAGGATCCACTGTGAGTTAACTTTTATGTATAGCAACTTTCCAGTAAAAGTTGAAATTCATCTTTTTGCCTGTGGATAGCCAGTTCGAGGTCCATTTGTTGGAAGGACTGTCCTTCAATAATAATCTATAATTTCTTCATAAAGGTGCTTTTTAAAGATTCAACTATCTTTGTGAAGTTTTTTTCTAGATTTAATTATAGGTATTCATAATTTTTGTAACTACGTGAATGGCATATTTTTAAACTTAAATTTCCTGATTAGATGTGACCCATGTATAGCAATCTTGCAGACTTCTGTCCATGGATCTCAAGCCTAGCAGCCTTACTGAAATTTTGTTAGTTTTGATTGTTTACCGGTAAATGCTCATGGTTTTTATGGATAAGCAATAATAGTGTATGAAATTCTTGGCACTTTCTTATTTTCCAGCACATATATATATTTTTTTTTCTTAAAAAATTTTTTTTAAATGTTTGTTTATTTTTGGGAGAGAGAGAGAGAAGAGTGTGAGTGGGGGAGGGGCAGAGAGAGAGGACACAGAATTTGAAGCAAGCTCCAGGCTCTGAGCTGTCAGCACAGAGCCTGTTGCGGGGCTCGAACTCATGGACCATGAGATCATGACCTGACCGAAGTTGAACGCTTAACCTGCTGAGCCACCCAGGCGCCCCTTTAAAATTGTTTTTTTTTTTTAATGTTTATTTATTTTTGAGAGAGAGACAGAGTGGGAGCGGGATCGGGAGAGGAACAGAGAGAGAGGGAGACACAGAATTCAAAGCAGGCTCCAGGCTCTGAGCTATCAACACAGAGCCCAACATGGGGCCTGAAGTCATGAACCATGAGATCGTGACCTGAGCCCAAGTCGGATACTTAGCCGACTGAGCCACCCAGGTGCCCCTGCTTTTTTTCTTACTTAATTGTAATGGCTAATATTTCTAGTACATTATTGAATAGACGTAGTCATAGTGACCACTTTTGCCTTCTTTCAGACTTTAAATATTAAGCGTTAATATTAAATATTGAACAAAATGATGTTTGCTCTGGTTTTTTTTAAACATTTTTCACATTTTCCCTTTTACTCATACACCAAGAATTTTAATCATGGATTGGTTTTGAATTTTTTTTTTTTTTTCAACGTTTATTTTTGGGACAGAGAGAGACAGAGCATGAACGGGGGGAGGGGCAGAGAGAGAGGGAGACACAGAATCGGAAACAGGCTCCACGCTCTGAGCCATCAGCCCAGAGCCCGACGCGGGGCTCGAACTCACGGACTGCGAGATCGTGACCTGGCTGAAGTCGGACGCTTAACCGACTGCGCCACCCAGGCGCCCCTGGTTTTGAATTTTTATTAGCTCTGCATCCACTAAGGCAAATTTTGTTTTCCTTCTTTAATCTGTTCGTGTAGTAAATCCCACTGTTAAATATCCTAATGCAGCTGTTCTCAAACTCAGCCCGGAAAAGTACTATGCCTGCTTCCCAGCCCCAGAGATTCTAGTTTAAGTGATGTGTGGTGCAGTATGGGCTTGTGGATTTTTAAAAGGTCTCCCAAGTGATTTCAGTGTACCTCCAAGTTTGACAGCCATTGTTCTTGGGACAAATCCTACTTGAACATGAGTTGTTTTAAAACTACATTTATGTTTGGTTTGTGATTTTTTTTTAAAAAAATTTTTAATGTTTATTTATCATTGAAAGAGACAGAGCATGAGTGGGGGAAGAACAGAGAGAGGGAGACACAATTTGAAGCAGGCTCCAGGCTCTGAGCTGTTACCACAGAGCCTGACGTGGGGCTCGAATTCACAGACCACGAGATCATGACTTGAGCCGAAGTCAGACGCTTAACCAGCTGAGCCACCCAGGTGCCCTGTGATTTTTTTTTTTTTTTAAAGGATTTTTGCGTCCATGTTCTTAAGAGATTAGCTGCTAATTTTTTATTCTGTTCTTGAGTTGGTTTGGGTAATTTCTACTTTTCCTAGAAAATAGCCCTTTTTGCCATTTTCAGAATTGGAAGTTATTTTCTGACGGTGACAGAGCCAGTAGGAGGGTGCCAGCCCAGTTAGCTTTTGCTTGTTTTTATTAATAACCTTTGCTCCTTTCTCTGCAGGTGATCTGTGTCCACGATGTCTCATCCATCTACCGAGTCCCCTTGTTATTAGAGGAGCAGGGGGTCGTAGATTATTTTCTCCGGAGACTTGACCTTCCGATCGAGAGGCAGCCACGAAAAATGCTGATGAAGTGGAAAGAGATGGCGGACAGGTTTGCGTCGTGATAAGGAGCTGGGAGTTGGAGCTTTTGTTCTCCTTCTCGTGAGGTCTCAGGGAATTCGCTTGTGCTGTCAGCTCATATTAGAGAAGGTCTTCGTGGTGAGAGGTGTCGAGACAGGTTCAGGGATGAGGAGGTCCTGGTAGAGCCGAGTTCAGGTCACACACCTATTGCCTTAGGTCCCCTCGACTAGAGAATCGGCGCCGACTGACCACACCTGGGCGAGCCGTCACGCCCGAGGCCCACACGGATGGCGGGCCAAGCCCGCAGCGCTCCTGGGGCGCCTCCCGGCACCTGAGCTGCGTGTGGGACTGGGCTGCTCACCGCACACCAGGAAAGGAGGAGCAGGGGTGCCTAGCCTGGTGTGTGGCTACTGCTGCCAGATTGTTTCCCTCTGAGAACTGTCCCTGTTCCTTTTTAAGCCCAGTGATGCTTTGATGCCACATCAGAGGTCTTCACGCGGCGCCTCAGAGCCCCGGGTGTGTGCCCTGTCGCAGCTGCCGAATCAGCCCGACGGTGTTAATAAGCGCTCGTCACGTTGCTCTGTGATGCTTACTTTCCTTTTGACACTTTCCCTTTTAGTCTTCATCCGTCTATGTGTATATCCGTATGTCGCTACAAAGATGGCGCACAGTTCTATGATATTTTTTCATACAGTATTACCAACTCGTTAAAAAAAAATGTTTCTTTTGAGAGAGAGGGAGAGAGAGAATCCCAGGCTCTCTCTGTGCTGAGCACGGAGCCTGGCATGGGGCTTGATCCCATGAACCAGGAGATCATCATGACCTGCACTGAAAGCAAGAGTCAAACACTTAACCATCTGAGCCACCCAGGCACCCCATAAACTTTTTTGATCTGTTACTAATTACTTTATGATGAAAACAAATTCTTTTAAATGTTTATTTTTGAGACAGAGAGAGAACAGAGCATGAGCGGAGGAGGGGTATAGAGAAGCGGCGGGGCGGGGGCGGGGAGGGAGACACAGAATCAGAAGCAGGCTCCAGGCTCTGAGCCATCAGCCCAGAGCCTGACACGGGGCTCGAACTCACGGACTGCGAGATAATGACCTGGCTGAAGTTGGACACTCAACCAACTGAGCCACCCTGGCGCCCCATGATGAAAATTTTTAATGAATATAGACTGCTGTGTGAATATTTTTGACTCTTTCCTTCATCACATTAATTCTTATGAATTGTCTGTTCATGTCTGTTAGTTTTTCTTGCTCCTTGGGATTTTAATGTTTCCTGGTTTTGTTTTTTAAGTGTCTATCCTTTATTTCTTTCTCTTTCTTTCTTTCTTTCTTTCTTTCTTTCTTCCTTCCTTCCTTCCTTCCTACCTACCTACCTACCTACCTAATCTATCTATGTATCTATAGAGAGAATCCCAAGCAGACTCCTCACTGTCAGCATGGAGCTCAGTACGGGGCTCAATCTCACAAACCACAGGATCATGACCTGGGCTGAAACCAAGAGTTGGACACTTAACTATCTGAGCCACCCAGGTGCCCCTAAAATCCTACTTTCTTTACAAAGCCTGCCACATGGATTTGAAAGTAGCTCCCTCTCTACTGTCCTGGAAATGAAACTCAGATAATATCTGCTCTCATTATATTCTTCCCAGAGATGTTTTTCTCCTTTTTAGAAAGCAGTTTTGATCTTATGATGGCATATACGTTCTAAATAATTTGGTGTTTCTTGGCCTTTCATAGATACGATCGCTTGCTGGAGACCTGCTCTATTGCCCTCGTGGGCAAATACACCAAGTTCTCAGACTCGTATGCCTCTGTCATTAAAGCTCTGGAGCATTCTGCCCTGGCCATCAACCACAAGTTGGAAATCAAGGTAAGGATGGGTGGCGCATATTCAGCTGAGGCATGAACGGGGAGGCCTTCTGCGTTCTCATAGATGCTGCATGATATCTACTTTATATTTTTGGAACTCAGAATTTCTTTTTAGGAAGAGAAAGGATTCATGGTTGGCTCCTGGCTTGGAGAGAACAGTAGAACATTTTCAGGAGATGTTGAAGGGGAGAGATGGTCAGAGTAGTAGTTGAGAAAGTGAGTAGTTGAATTTGAATTATCAGGTGACCAAGTAAAATTAACCCATGGGCATGGGGGAGCCCCAGTGAGCCAGAGGCACCCTGCATAATTGCTCTTCACTTACCTTTGCAGTGGAAATGCTAACACCCACCTGCTGGAGCTGGGAGGTTTCTCTGAAATGTATGTCCAGTTGCCTGGTCAGTGCCTGGAATGTGGGCAGCCTCCAGGGAAGAGCACGTCTTGTGTTTTGCCCTATGACTTGATGGGTGGGAGCTGAGCTGATGGGGCACGGCCCCTGCTCATCTTCTTGGGGCAATAGAGTTATTAAGGTTCGGGACTCCAATTCCGGCTGTCCTCCCCACTGGCACTGGGGTTGGCCTTCGACTTCACCAGGTGTTTCTCAGTGTCATAATTTAGTTTGCTTTGTGCTTGCGAACAGGTTGCTGTGGAATATCTTACTGTATAGATTTTAAGAATTAGGGAATCTTATTCCACTTCCCTGACTTCCTGTTGCTGCTGCTTTGGCTCATTCATCTGCTGTATCCACTCGGACGTAGTCTGTGCCTGTCGTTAGATGCGGGGCTGAGAGCTGAATGAGTCAGTGAGGTCTCTGAGATGTGACACAGAAGAAGGGGTGAATCTGTCTGGGTAGACGTGTGAGGAGGGCAGACTTCCTCAAGGAGGGACTCTGGGAGACTTTGGGAAGATGGATAAGGCAGAAGGGAAGGGCGTCCGGACAGAAGGTAGAGAATACCCAAGGGCTTGGAGACGGGGAATAGTTGGGAAGTCCGTGGATGGACAAGTGTGACTCAGAAGATATCTGGAGACAGGCCTGTGAGGTCATGAATCCCGCCAACTGGGCCACAGCTGGGTCTTACCCTGAGTTTTAGGGAAGTCACTGCAGGGTATTAGGCAGGGAAAAAGGTGAATGACATAATAAGTGGGCAAAATATTTGAATGGACACGCCCACAAGAGATGCATCTGATACATGTGGAGAGACGGTCAAGGTCAACACCTTCAGTGCAGATGAAAATAAATGCCAATGAAATCTCTGAGATACTAACACACACCCGCCAGAGGGGCTACGGGTGGTTGGTGAGGATGTGGAACTCTCATGCCTTGCTGGTGGGAATGTGAAATGTCACAACCGCTTTAGAACAGTCTGGTAGTTTCATATAAAGGTAGACGTACACTTTATGACCCTGCAGTTCCACTCCCAGGTATTTACTCAAGAGAAGTGAAAACAAAAGTCCACACACACACACACACACACACACACACACACACACACACAATTTTATACAAAAGGACTATTATTTTAATAGCCTGTCTGGAAGCAACCCTTACTATCCAGAGTGAGGCAATATACACACTGAGGTATATTTCTACAGTGGGAAACTGCCCAGGGATGAATCTCAAAAACATACTGAGCCAAAAAAGCCAGACACGGGAGGCTGCATGTTGTTATGTTTTCATTTCTGTGAGGTTCTAGAAGAGGCATCTGTGGTGACAGAAAGCAGAGCCAGGGGACTCTGGGGCAGGAAGTGGAGAGGAGACTGCTTGCAGGGGAGCAGAGGGAACTTCCGGGGATGGCACTAGTTTTCTTCGCCATTGATTGTGGCGGTGGTCACACCTTCATGTGTGTGTTTGACAAAACTCATCAGAGTGTGCACCTTAAAATGCCTGGATCTTATTGTGTGTCGGTTATACTTCAGTAAAGGTGAACAAAATGAAAAGCAGCCTGGGGGCGCCTGGGTGGCTCAGTCAGTTGAGCATCCGACTTCGGGTCAGGTCATGATCTCACAGTTCATGAGTTTGAGCCCCGTGTCAGGCTCTGTGCTGACCGCTCAGAGCCTGGAGCCTGCTTCGGATTCTGTGTCTCCCTTTCTCTGCTCCTCCCCCGCTCACTCTCTCTCTCTCTCTCTCAAAAATAAATAAAAACGTTAAAAAAAAAAAACAAAAACCCAGCCTGGGTTGAAGGTGGGCTTGGGGAGATGTATCCCGGATGGAGAGAACACGGCAGAGCCGCTCCAGTGTGCTGAGTATAGGGCCTTGGGGAGGCAAATGAGTTTTGAAGGAAACGTTTGTATTTTACAATATAAGAAAGATTTTCAAGTCTGGAGATTATCACCGAGTTTAAATATATGAAGGTTCTAATTTTAAAACCTGATTTTTAAGGGAGATAGGACACTGATAATATAATTTGGGAATGCGGGGAAGAAAGCAGCTCTGGAGTCATGGCCTACTTCTTGTCTCCTCTGCCCGCATAACCCCCAGTACATAGATTCCACGGACTTGGAGCCCAGCACCCTGCAGGAGGAGCCCGTACGCTACCACGAAGCCTGGCAGAAGCTCTGTAGCGCCCAGTGAGTAGTGCCCTGTGCCCGGCTTCTGGGGGCTTGGGGGTGGGCTCGGGGAGCAGAGTGCTGGGCTCTTGTGCACCAGTAGTAGGTAATCTACTTTTTGAATGGCTTTTGATTACCGAAAGGGCCACAGTCTGGATGATTTAAGCCTTACAGAAATACAGCTTATCAGCACAGTTGAATCTGAAGAAAACATGACATTTGTCGTATGCATCTACTCATGAGGCTTAAAGGTTTTCACCAGGGCGGGGAGGGGGGGCACCTGGGTGGCTCAGTCGGTAAAGCGTCCGACTTCAGCTCGGGTCATGATCTGGTGGTTCCTGAGTTCGAGCCCCGCGTCGGGCTCTGTGCTGACGGCTTGGAGCCTGGAGCCTGCTTTGGATTCTGCGTCTTCCTCTCTCTGCCCCTCCCCTGCTCACGCTCTGTCTCTCTTTCTCTCTCTCTCTCTTGAAAATAAATAAAGGTTAAAAAAAAATTTTTAAAGATTTTCATCTGGAACATTTGATGAGGACCCTTCAGTGGAGTCTCATAGTTTGTTTTTGGCAGCCATTATTTATAATGGTAGAAAATCACAGAATTCTAGATCACTGGAACAATTGGATGTTATGGGGCCCTATAGCTATGAACGAGACCCCAAGCTCAACAGGCCGTCTGAGAGGACGAGGAAGGCTCCTTTCCCATTCAGGGGAGCACTTTAAGCCAAGAAGTAAAAAGTTGCATTTATAGCAATATAACTTATACTAAATATTAGGAAAGAATCCGTGTGTGCCACCTTTTACCTGTAAGCGTTTTGTAGCATTACTCAGAAACATTTCGTGTGCATCTTTTTTTTTTTTTTTTTAATGTTTATTTGCTTTTGAGAGAGAGAGAGTGCATGTCGGGGAGGGACAGAGAGAGAGGGAGACACAGAATCCAAAATGGGCTCCAGGCTCTGAGCTGTCAGCACAGACCCCGACGCAGGGCTTGAACTCATGAACCACGAGATCGTGACCTGAGCCCAAGTGGGACGCTTAACTGACTGAGCCACCCGGGCCCCTTCATGTGCATCTTCCAAGTTCATAGTATTTGGTGTTTATATACAGCTCACTGGCAGTCTTGCAATCACGATATAGCCCCAGTGGCAAAACACGCGGAGTGACCTCGTGGCATCCGTGTCTTGGGAATGGCTCCTTGGGTGCTTACTGCGAGTTGGGCTGGTGGGCAGGGTCCATTGCCTTGTGGTGTGCTCTCTTGTACAGTGGAGTGCTGGTTCCCGGGGGATTTGGTGTTCGGGGGACGGAAGGAAAGATCCAAGCCATCGCCTGGGCTCGGAAACAGAAGAAGCCATTTTTGGGTAAGGAGTAGGAGAGGTCAGGAGAAGGTGCCACATGGGAGCCTGTCAATAAAACAGGGAGGTCAGTGGAAGCAAGCTTAGGCGCCCTCATTCTAGATGTCAGCTCAAGTAGAAGCCAGTTTGGTTCTGTTTGGGAGAAATTCAGACTCCCTTAAGCGTGAAAAGTTTTAAGAGCTTGTATGTTCATCCACGTGTCCGTGTCGTGGAACTTGGAGAGAATGAAATGGCAATCAGGAAATTTTGGCTGTTCGCTGAGCCCGGCTGTTGGGCAGGACATGTGAAGCTAGGTTTTATATCCTCACTTGGAATTTGGGCCAAGTGGTTTTGGATGCTTCCTGGTGCTGTAAATTGTAGTAATTTTCAACTTGATCCCTTGTAAATGGGAACCTAATGAGAGGATAAGAAAACTTGAAGTTTTAAATATGAGTAGAGTGTTGCTTATTTCTAGAACCAAATAGCTTCTAAAACTTGGCATCTTCATATGCACTTATATCCAGTGTTCGAAAGCTGATACAGATGACACAGCAGGGGGTGCATGTTTACAGCAGGAAAACATGAGAGTTTGTGATTGTCCTTTTGCGAGCAGACAGGACACAAAGTCCAGGACAGGCTGGTGGGAAACGTAGGAGCTGCCTTTTTAATGGAGCTTCATTTGTTTTTCCCCTCCACCTGCAAGGTGTGTGCCTAGGAATGCAGCTGGCAGTGGTTGAATTTTCCAGAAATGTGCTGGGCTGGCAAGGTGAGTGTTCGTTAAACTTGTTACATTCTTGCCAAAGTGTTTTCCTGAAGCGCGTGAAGCCTGCTGCCTCCTGCGTGATGGTAGAGGAGGGCAAGGCCTGGTCTCTCCGTACCTGGCGGGGAACAGCAAAGGGGAACCCTGTGTGCACTGAGGGCGCGCGCGTGGCTCTGCCAGCCCGACCACAGGAAGGAGGGGTCACAGCTGAGCAAGCAGCCTGGGCTCTCTGCCCCTGCATTTCCTGCTCTGCAGACTCCTGCATGTCTACCCCCGTGGCCACCATCCCTGGGCGTCTGCCGAGCAAGAAGCCGACAGCTCTGGCCTGTGTGAGGCTGTGCGGTTATCATGAACTTGGGCCCTGGAGCTGGTCAGACCTGAGCTCAAATTCTGAGTCACTTGTTGTGGGTGATTTTAGATAAATTACTTAGCCCTTTTGGCTTCTGTTCCTTCTATAAAATGGGGTGATAATGGTACCTATTTCTCATGGTTGTAAGAATTAAATGGAATAGTGCATGTGAATAGTCCCAGCATAGTGTCTGGCAAATAGGAAATACTCCGTAATATTGGCCCTGTGCCTGGCTAACTGTCCAGACCACCCGAAAACTCAGTGGCTTCCAACGTTTTATCGTGTGTCCGTATGCTGTGGGTTGAGTGGACTCGGCTGGCTGGTTTTCTGCGCCCTGTATCTGAGATCCTGCCCCCATCCAGCTCTGCCCAGCAGGGATATCCAGTGGGTTCTCTCCACGTGGCAAGGCTCCTCATTCACAGCCTGGCGACCTACCAGCTTCCAAAATGACCGGCCCAGTGTGTAGGCACTTAACTAGCTTGCTAAAGTCCCAAGGCCAAGTGCAGTCGGTGGGGGACGGAACCACACAGCCCGAGGACTGGGGCAATGGAAGAGGCTAGTCTCTGTAGCCCAGCTGACAGACGTGAGGTTTTCAGAAAGACCTTACAAGTTGTAAGAAACACAAAGCAAGCGTCCTGAGGCGTGTAAAAGCGGCCTGGCTCCACAAAGGATGAGCGGCTCTCCTGTGGCCAGCTGACTGTTAGGATTGGGTTCATTGCACATGTTTTCTGACAGTTACCCTGAGGGCACGGTGGCTGTTTCATAGGCAGCATGCCCTGTAGTTCTGACTCCTGAGCCTCTGGCGGGCACCGTCTTAGCACCCACCACCCTAGAGCTGGCCCTCTGGGCACCCTGGACCCTTGCCCAGTTACAGTCTGTCGCCCACTCGGGTCCCCAGGTGGGTGAGTGACTTAGTGACAGGCTTAGCTTTGCTTGGGACCTGGCCGTGGTTAGGAACAGTACCTAGCCTGTCACACAAAAGGAGCCGTGCTGTACCAGGAACTTGATTCTTCTAGTCTTTGTGGTTTTGCTTATGGTTAGACCATAAATTCAGTAAAGGAGAGGAAGGCTTATTTGGGTGTTGAAATCAGTTCCTGATGTAGCTGCTGAGGGAGGCAGTGGGGCAGTGCAATGTAGGATGCACAGGAGGACAGGAATGTATTCCAGCCCGGAGAGATGCAGCCTGAGAGGAAAAAATGGACAGAACAGTGTAAGAACTGTCATAAGGATGCGTTATCTAAATAAAGGTTATGAGGTTGTGCCATTGGTTTTGATTTCCCCATTTTGTGCAGCTTGACTTCCCAGAGAGTTAACAGGTGTAATGGAAAAACTCACCTGTGTTTGTGCACTGAGTCCTTCACGTCTTAACGTTATCCTTAGTTTTGTTCTAATCACCGAAGGATCGCTTTACATCGAGGAGGGAAATTGTGAGTTAGGGCTTAGGAATGACACTTTTCAATAATCAGGTTTGTTCGTAACTCTTTTCGTAACGTAAGTGTTTTGATTTTTCAGATGCCAACTCTACAGAGTTTGACCCTAAGACCAATCATCCTGTGGTGAGTCCAGGGTTTGAACGTTACCAGGGCTTAGAAGGGTGTGGAGGGGGCGGGCACCGGAAAGAGACCCCCTGGATCCACCCAGAGAACCCTCAGACCGGATAGAAAGAACTTTTTTATTTTTCATTGTGCAGTTTCTCACTTCTCTTCCCAGTTCGCAACAGAAGGTTTTTAAGATGGGTATCACCCCAGCCAACCAGGGTGGTTCCTGATTAAAATCACTCTTCATCCCCACTCCCCTTAGCCCTTAACTCCTCTTAGCACTCTAACGATCGTTTTGTACTGACACGAGACACCCACATAGGCACTTACTATGCGCCAGGCACTGTTCTCACCACTTAACGTGTATTCATTCATTCCATCCCCGACAACCCTGGGAGACGGGCATGTTATTCAGGAACCATGGAATATGGTTCTGATGTGTTTAACGGTAACCAAAGCTTTTGGAGGCCCCCGTACCTTGTGTGATGTCTCCTGTCAGAGGCATATGGCTCCTGGGAAGGGGAGGAATAGCGCCTTTACCCATCTTTGAATCTCCTATCCCGGGGGTGACAGGCGGGCTCTTGGTACCAGAGACACTGTGATAAACAAAGTGGACCAAGCTCTTGATCTCAGGGCATTTAAACAGCATCGGGATATGCTTGTTGACCTGCAGTTGAACTTTGCTAATACTAAGAGCTCAGGAGGAGAAGAATGAAGGGTTTGAAGTGTGCAGCCTCGGGGTGGTGGGAAAGCAGGGCCAAGATAGGGGCCTGGAGGCCTTAGAAAGTGCTCAGAGGAGCCCGGGACCGAGCGGTGGGCTGGGCTCCCGTGGCAGGGGGGGCCTCAGCCTCTCCGCCCCACACACGTCCGCCAGGCTCCCGCCTAGACCCGGCAAACCCTGGAGAAGCATCCCTGTCTTCTGAGTGGCTCATGAGTCCGGTGGAGGGGACACGTGCTGTAACATCAGCATATCCTGTCTTGCATCCGTGCCGCTACGTTAGTCTCCAGAGCGTGTTGTGGCCCAGCAGCCCTCATGGTCCGAAGTGCTGGGGGCAGGAAGGGCCGCGGGCAGGAGCAGCTGTGTTCGATCCTACAGCTCAGGAGGATAGGCTAAAGGATTAAGCCGCTACCCAACACAGGTTCACAGAACGATTATGGGGAGGCATTTCCCCAGTGACAAACATCTCTTGTAAGGAAGGGCTGGGGAATCAGAGCCTCCTGCCAGGCTCTTGTCACTCAGTGTAGGCTGTCTGCTAACGGAGGCAGAGTTTGGTAGCGTGTGTTTGTTTTTTGAACACCTCCAGGTCATAGACATGCCAGAACACAATCCTGGGCAGATGGGCGGAACCATGAGGCTGGGCAAGAGGAGAACCCTGTTCCAGACCAAGAACTCGGTCATGAGTAAGAGCGGCCTCTCACCGGCCCCGCCTTCAGCTCTGCGTGCCTAGGACTCACGTCTTGGGCTGCTGCTGGGGCTCCGAAGAGCCAGGCTGACTTTTTTAGTTTTGTTCTTGCTTTTGAGGTCTTTTTTTCCCCCCTTCCTAGTCACATTCTTCTAGGATGTGCTGTAATAACCAGAGAAGCAGTGTGGCTCTTAGAAAGCTTGCAGGCAGTGCGGTCAGGGCCCTGGGGGCCTTGGGTGTGGGCGGCTGACCAGAAGGAGGCAGGTGAAATCTCCCCACACAGTCTGTCCTGTACCTCGTCTGTTCGGTTGAACCGAATTAAACTGCCAATGTTGGCGATTTCTGTCCCCCAGAAAGGCACTTTCGTATGGTCCAACCTAACAAGGTTTTAGTCAAAAAGTACTAATACGCGCTAAAGATTTAGAGAAAATTGGGGCGGGGGGGAACATTTAGGAGAATTACTCCATTCAATCTCGTTTTCTTGCCCACTGGGAAAATTCTGTCTTTACTAGCCGGGGCCCCATGTGTCTGTCAGTTTGAGTCACTTGAGTAGGTGGCCTTGGGGTCCTACCAGCTCCGTGTTCTGTGGACTTGGGGGCCTCACCCCGCAGCCCTCGTGCCAAGGCTCTTTGCGCCTGTGACTTAACCGCATGGCGCTGCCCCGAGGACCATCCCTGTAGCTCTGGAAGTGTCTTTCTAGGCTTCCACTGTTTGATATGTCCTGGTGTGTTTTCCAAGGCAGTTTCCAGCAGGAAAGTGCTCTTGTACCTCAGTAATCGAGGTTGGAGGGTGGTGATGGAAAGGAAACAGCTGTTCTAGTTTTTCTTGGTGTGGTCAAAACAGTCCAAGCCCAAGAATTCATGCAAATGGTGCTGCAATAGGCAGGAGGCTGTGGTTGCCTGGAGAATCCTAGAAATGACCTTCAAAAGGCCTGGCTGTGTAGGTGATTCAAAAGTAAACTGGGAAGCAAGAGGCAGTAGTGAATAGATTGTTCTGTGAAATCAGGACTCTTTACGGGAGCATGCTTGCTTTTGCCAGGGAAACTCTACGGAGACCCGGATTACTTGGAAGAGAGGCACCGCCACAGATTTGAGGTAAGGGGTGGAGCTTTGTGGCTTTTAAACGTTCCTCCTTCCGGTTACTCTAGAGAAGTAAGCCGAGAGGTCAGTCAGCTTACTCTTCATGTTTCCATAGGTGAATCCAGTCCTGAAAAAGTGTTTGGAGGAGCAGGGCTTGAAGTTTGTTGGCCAGGATGTTGGGGGAGAGCGGATGGAGATCGTGGAGCTGGAGGGTGAGCGTGGGGTGGCTGTGCGTGGGCGGGGGGGGGGGGGCCCCAGTGAGCACGGGCCTGACAGCGGTAGGGAGGGCCCCGGCCCTGGTGGGGTGCTCTTGGAGAACGAGGCACCCGGAGCCCTGGGAAGCCTGTCCTTCCTCAGCCAGCACTGCACTCCTGGCCTCGGTCCTCATTCTCCAGAATGAGAGCTTGGACTTGGCCCTTGAGCCCCACTTCCGATCTTGACGACATGCGGACTCGGTCCCACGGAAGCCAGGGAGCAGGGGGAGCTGGGGCGGGAACCCCCGAGGGGAGGCAGCGAGCAGGGCGACAGCATCC